TGTATCACATGTGCTAGCCTGAAACTAACGCTAGAAACTTAGCATTTAGATATATTTTAACTAGGCCTGTCAACATAAACGCATGAATCTATTCCATTAATGTGGCCGAATTAATGCAACAAAATATTTTAATGTAGTTTACGTACATTTGTTTAGTAAACCGGATGTTGACTGTGGAAACGAAACGGCCGCTAGCTCCAGTCAGTTCCTTCCATCTCAACATCTTACGTTACTCCGCGCGGCACACAGTCTGCAGAGGAGATAGTTGGCACTTCAAACACAGCCGTTAAATGATGAAGAGTTGAGAGCAAAGTGCACAAGGACAGCAGGAAGAGTCACTAGTTCAACATGTTCCACCAGGTGGAATTCTGCCTCCAAGATGATCAAATGTGTGTAGTTTAGTGTTTAAAATAACATTAACAATTAAACAACCGTGTCTTACACTTACACACTTTCTAAAGTGATTACTCATTACTTTTAGGATTTAATCTTTAGAAGAAAAACATTCAACATTCATTAAAAACAACATTGTAACATTAACGACAACATTTATTAATCGCCATTAATCGAGATTAATGAATTCTATGACAGCCCTAATTTTACCTCAATTTGAATTTTGAATTTGTTGAATGTTGTATCACAACGCTGCCAATTGGAGCCAATTCTTCTAGACAACAAGCTCATCATCAGTAACTTTGCTACCTGGAAGCACACTTTGCACTCCATTTTCAGCAGGAAGAGAGTAGATAACAACCGTTGGATGGTGAATGTTTAGTGACAACCATCACCGTACACGGGAAATAGAAGAATATAAAAGCAGAATGCAAATGCAAACATGAACATGTAAATGGCTTGTATGAAAAAGCTACGCTGGTCCAGGTCGAGCTTACATTCATGAATGAACTCTGAAATACCCAATTTAATATTTTCCCTAGAGGGGAAATAATACATGTCACCCGAGTAGGCTGCAAAACGTTTTTCTCATTTCCAATTAAAGCCTCAGTGGTGTAAATGATACCAAAACCGAGACTACTGGTATCTTACCAACCACAGGGGAACGGGGAGTTTTGGTGGTGGGTGAAATGAATGGGTGCATCTAGCTGGTTCACCTCATGAGGAGCATCGTGACACTGATGAGGATCACAGGGAGCAACAGTGCATTCTAGTGGCCAGAATGAAGATTACTAGAATTATTTCATTTTAATTTTGTGGAGCTTTCATTACATAACATGTCATTTAGCTAACACTTTTATCAAAAGCGACTTAAAATAAGCTTTCAATACTAGTTTGAATATTTAATAGGTTTCTTTTAATGATTAAATTCTGCATCTTTTCTGATGCTACATATTTAGATGCTATGGGAACAATTGTGAGAGGTGGCCCAGATTAACAACTATTCAACTACCAATGTTTCACTAGCGTTATTATTATTAGCACTATTATTCAATTCAAACTAGCCACACAAAACATGTGTAGGGTCAGGGATGTGGTGGTATATTACAAGGGAAAACAAACAACTTAAGAGACAAGACTTTTTGTTTAGAGAATATGAGCACATCATATATACAGTATTTATAGCTCAGTCCATCCATGCAGAAAAAACAATCCCAAAGTCTGAGGCAAATACCTGCACATGTATGGTCGCTGCACACATTCACTAGAAAACTCAGCCATTCATGGACACAACCCCTCTCAAACTATTCCATATCATGCAACTGTGCACACACATTCACATTCAATTACATGAATTCAGACGCACCCAAGCTGGAGTACACACACACAAACACCCAGCTGCATGCCTACAGGTATTTTACATGAGCTTATGTGTGGGTTCATCCACATGTCAGAGCTTGGTTTATAAAAACAGGAGATCAATCATGGAAGGAATTGCAGCAGTCAGTGGTGTGCATGTGTGTGACTTGTGTGTGGATGTGGATAATGACCACAATAATTACTTCTGCCCTAATTTGCACTTGAATGCCCCAAGAACCCATTTTTCTCCCTCTGAACTTCTCTTGTCTTTTGTCTTCACATAAAGTCGGAATTGCCCTTTTAATTTTTGCACTCATCACTAGTACTACAGTATTAAAAGTGTTCCTTTGAGATGCTTGGCAGCTGGTAAAATCCCTTTCTTGCATCCTTCTATTTCCCACAGTGTGGTCCATGAGAATTACTGTTTCTGAGTATAAAAGGCTCTTTGGGAGGAAAGGATCCAGGTTTGGCATGTTATTGTCTGTTGAAACAAACACTCTGCCTTGACTTTGTGTATGACCGCTGCAGATGAGTACTCAGTTAAGTGGAAAAATGAATCAAAAACAAAAAAATGACATATTTTTCGAATGATTTGTCTGATATTTCCAAGTGGGGGGCAGTTGGGAGAATGGGGAGATTGTGTGTGTGTGTGTGTGTGTGTGTGTGTGTGTGTGTGTGTGTGTGTGTGTGTGTGTGTGTGTGTTGTGGGGGATGAGGAGAGAGACAGAGCAAGTGAGTAAGAGTCAGTGTGAGAGAGGGGCTGTGTGTTTCAGACCAGCTGCACAGCAAATCTGTTTATTCTGCACAATTTGGCATCAAACACAACAGACTGCTGAGTGCTTGCTACTGCTTGTAGTGCCCCATTAAAATGGAATTTATTGCTGCCTTAAGAGCAAACCCAGATTATACATGACACATTCCTTCCCTCCACGTTCGCTCCTTCTCCTTCTTTCCAGTTTTTTTTTCTCCATTTAAAGTTGCAGCTGTTGATGTCAAATGTGAAGACAATCTTTTCATCTAAAGGCATCCGATTAGTATATTGTCCCATCTTTATCAGTTGCATCAACACAACAGAGGCTGAAATAACCACTCAGTCCCAACGACTTGTTACCCATTTAGTTTACTTTTAGTTTATCTGCTAATTTGTAACCAGCCTTTGAACCTATGCACGCTGTTAAGAGAGCGTGAACCTCATCCCGCTCTATAAATCTCCTCAGCCAATGATAAATTCATATTTAATGACCATGGCCATTGTCTGGAAAGGAGGAGCCTTCTTTCATTATTGCCGCTTTCCCCTGCTGCTTGGCCGAGATAATTGATTTCTCCGTGGTAACAAGGTATCGACCATGCATGCTAGCCAGCTAAGACGGTGGTTCGATTCAAAGGAGGGGTGGAAAGAGGAGAAAAAAGAGAGAAGAGATAAACTGAGAGCAGGAGCCCTGAAAGCCAACAAGCCATACAATTATTTACAGTTAAAAACCTCCCTGACTTTAGCTGGGTCTAGATCGGACACTGACTGTTTTTCAGGACTCGCACAGGCCTACTGCAGAACGTTTGGTATTTTAGAGTTGTATGTTGAATTCATTAAAAGAAAAGCATATTTACTCACTCAATCTGTCATATTATTCACTACAAACGGTTCCAGGAACCAATCTGGGGGACACTTTTGAGCACATGCTTATCCTGCTAAGGAAGCGGTACATTGGTCCCTGTCCTTGTGTCTATGAATTTGCATATATTCTCTAAACCTGACAGACTGCTCCTTCCCCCTTGCCCATTTTGATGTGATTTCAAAAGCAAATCTGCATGATGCCTTGCTTAATCCAGCATTGAATCCTCCAAAAATAGTAAGCAGATTCTACAACAGCACAGCAGGAACATAGAAATGCCCCCCAGCAAGTGACAAAATGTGTAAATGTGCATACACAAATAGTCTAATAGAAGAAATAACAGAACTATTTTTCTACTGGTTAACATGTTTCTCTGCTTTAACAAAGCTATTAATAAGATACCTGATCAGATGGCTGGATTTGACAGGCAGTTATTGAGTCGACATGTCTGAGGTACTGACATTATCGACCGTGACCTCGAGCAAACAACGCTCAACGTGTATGCCCTGTGTTTCCAATCAGTCAATAACTTAACTAAACCTTATGAATTTAATAACCTATTGATTGTATTCAGCTTCAAGAGATGGTTATATCCTTTGGCTCCACCGCCTGTAGGTCACTCTGTAAATAGAAGATTTAAATGGTGCTGCTGTTGTTGTGTGTTTACCAGCTTACATTGTAATTTATTTAAGAGCTCTTAATTGGACTAGTTACTCATTTGGCCCTCGTCGGTCCCACAGCAGAGTGGAGCTCCATCACTGCACACTGGGGCATGCTGGAATACGGAGCTACAGAGACTCACTGCACACAGCCAGCTGTTTGATGTCTGTAGCCGCCGAGGGTACGCTGCACCATACAGAATAAATAAACACACAATCCCCCCCATGAGACGACAGATCGACACACGGGAGACCTTATTTCAGGCTGATGAACTATTAATGTTGATTTGAAATTCAAACATTTTCCGAGGTTCTTCTCTGCAGTCGGTCATGGCTCTTTGTGTCTGTCTGTGTCTGTGTGTGTGTGTGAGAGAGAGAAAGGAAGAGCCACACAAACATGGATGAACTCTGCACAGCATATTTTCATTTCTCTCCCAAACAGCTGGACTCCGATGTCAACGGGCCTCGTGTGTGTGTTGTAGCTTCGTATTGAATGAGGCCATACAAAATGTATGTCAATGGGTTCACTCTCCAAAGTAACCGTTAATGGATTAACAATACAAAGTATAAATAGTCCCTGCTTTAATTCATAATAATGTAGGCCCCCATCACCTGCCCACTCAGCCCAGACTATGGAAATAGCTGTAATGACTATTGGAACAATGAGCCAAATTGCATTATTATTCAGTGCCACATCAGCTGTGGAATAGAGCTTTGCTCTTTTACTGAAGATCTCCAATACCAATGGCCAACATTCGATTTCAATCAGGGAGATGAAGATGAAGGGGGCTGTTATGCTGGATGAAGTAGACATTAATAATATGCTCATAACAAATTAGGTAACAATAATCCCGGGTCCAGGTGTAAGGTTCAATAGCTGGTAACAGACCTGCACATCACATTCTCTCGGGCCTCATTTCTGCAGGGACCCACATGGCCAGCTCATGCATGAACAACACCCACCAAGACACAAAAGAACCCGTGTTTGACATTTCTTTACTTCCAGGCAAACCATGGTTACATTTGGTTTTAATGCCTAAATACTGTAATCACTTTGTCAACATATTTCTCCTTTGGGTAGCTAATATTGTGCAAGTAATGCCATCATCACTAATATCTGCAGCATCCTAAAAACGTGATATTGAATGCAGCAGAGAGGAAATCTCATCGCAAACGTCACATCTTGTCCATTGCTGATGACGTATCTGTGCAACAATGGTAACGTGGACACAAATATAAAAATAAAAATAAATCAGTGAGCATGCAAATCTATTTTAATAAGGCTCCAGATTGTATTTTGTGATGACCACACAGATGAGTCTCAGACCTCCGGCTTGCGGTTGAAACAAATCTTTGCTGAACCGTCGTAGGTCAAAAGAATAACTCACAGTATTGTCAATCTGTTGATTGTAACGAGTCAGTAATACTCAGTGGCTGTGTGCATAATAAGCAGTAGATCATCTTCATTGGTTATGGCTTGCATTTCAAAAGTGGTGCAACAGCAGCCTCTAGGGGCGTGCGTTTTTTTTAGACTGATTGTCACACAGTGCAAAATGCAACATTGTTCCCATTTAGTATCAGTGTTTAGACAGCAGTATTTTTACTATATAAAATTGTCACGATTCATATAGATCATAGCACACAATCAACATAAATATAAAAAAAAACATTGTTAGATCATGAAAACAAAAGATGTCAGTTTTAGGACAACGACAAGGCAACCAATGCTAAAAGACAAAGACACTGGCCAATAACAAAGCGCTCTTTGACTAATGCAGGAGTGTATTTCACGTGTGTTTGAGCAACTCTGTCGCCGTGGTTACAACCACAGGTTCAAATAGGGGCAAACACATGTGAAAGCACAGCTTCTGAACAATAAACCTGTTTTACACAAACGTAGAGCATGTAATTACTAAAATGTTTTAGAACAGTTGCCTTGTCAAAGCCTTTAAACTTCTTAAAATCACAGACGTCACCAGTTTTGGTCAATAATAAATCATTAGTATTCAAAGACATAAAAACAAACTTAAACAATCGTGCAGTAATCTCTTTTTAAGAAGCAAAACCAAAAATCAGGTTAGAAAGACTAATAAAAAAACGTGGTAATAAAATTGTTACATGCTTAAATGCACAGAGGGTTCACACATCATTTTGTGAATATATCTTCAGGTATTGCAACAAGTAACCCAGAAATACAATATGGGTGAACTCTATTTCTTTTTTATCCTCTACGATTACTTCAGCTGTGGAGAGGCGAAGAAGTTTCCCTGGCGGTTAGAGGCAGCTGATGCTTTGCTCTTGCTCCCAAATCTGAGGATCGGAAGAGACAGATGGCAGCATTTAGAGATCAGTAAAAGCTATTTTTGCCAACGCAAGAGGCAGAACTGGTGTGATCAGGTTTGCATGTTCGAAGTGTTCTCAGTAAGACACTGAACTTAAAATTGCCCCGAAATTGGTGTACAAATTCAGATTAGAATGTGAAGAGCGGGCGTAGGCCTGCCCGGTGGCCTCTTCATCAGTGTGAATGGGTGTATGTTGACATGTGGTGTAAAGCGATGACAGTGGCCATAAGAATACAAACACGCTATACAAGTGTCCATTTACCATTTCACTTTGAGGATGAATGTTTAAAAAAGGTACAAACAGGAATCCAATATTTATATGGGAACAACTCAGCTTGCATCAATTAAATGTTGATCACCGAGTTGATACGGAGCTCAAAGCTTAGAATTGATGTGAAGCCGCCAGAGATGAGCGTTTACGTCACTACACCAGCCTGCTCAACATTTATGAGATTATATTCAAGGGGACATTGCAGTCTCTTCAATTCATTGACGTTCCTTGATCTTTTATTGATCTATTTGTAATTTTCATATATAGCACCAACTTCTGTTGTACGCAGGAGATAAATAAAGCTATAGGGTTTCTTCCATTCAGTTTAAACGCTACCTGCACACACTTAAAAGTTAAAACATGGACTAAGGAAGAATATTTTTGGATAGGTCTTTTTTTCGGCAATGGTAAATAAAATAGTTAAAATTTGAAAATGTTTAGATTGGATCAGAAACAATCCAATTGGATTCCACTTCCGAGGCACTGATAACGTATTCAAGTGAGGAGGAAAGCACAGCTATGTGTGTAAGAGCAGAGCTGTGAACCAGCCAAAGGCCCCTTTTAAATAGCAGCCAAATACTCCATTGACTTTAGACCAGATGTTTGTTGGTCAACGGCGTAATCTCTCTCCGCTGCTTCAAGATAGCAACGCACCTGAGCCCTCTTCAATTTAACACCCACTTATCCATGGGCACACATACATCTTTGACACATATACAGTAGGGGCGCCAAGAAGGAAAATTACAACTGCATCACTCTGAAACTCGCTGTGAGCTGCAGCCGTTTTGAGCTTACATTGTGGTGCTGGAGAGGGTCTGCTTCATGCGCTGGGTAAGTGAGCCGGAAGAGGGTGTTTTGGCCATCCTCTGGTGCTCTGGAGTAGTCACTGGTCCCAAGATGCTCACTACAGTTAAATGAAAGAAGAACACAATTCAACACAGGTGATTTGGTCAATTCAAGATTTTTAATCCTCAAAAAAGGTAAATCCCTGATCGTTTATTTCCTTTTCTTCAGTTTTTTCTCATGTCTTATATTCAAGTTTCTCCTTTTTGACAGACTTTTACCCTTTGTAATCCCCTTTCCATTGATTTACCATTGTGGTCCGGAGTATCAGCGTGGTGAGCATTGTCCATGCTCGTATTATCTGGATAAGCAAACTGGCCCCAGTAGTTTACTGGAATACTAAGCAAGCGCTCTACAACCTGAAAAACACAAAAATAAATACCACTTAATATCAAACCACAGCAAAAAGACTAAAAAGAAATACGGATGTTGAAGTAAACAAAAGCACACGCATTCATCGTCATTCACTCTACCCGTGGTTGTCGGCTCGTGTCATGCAGGATGGTCATAGGGTCTGGGTCGGGAACAGCATGACCCACAAGAGTAGGGCCAAACACTCTGGCCAGGTTGTTCACATCCATCTTGGTATCCACACACTCAGAAACACTGGAATAAGGAAAGGATCAAAAATAAAGGTTGCGTTCTTAACTAAAATGAAAGTTGATGTGTACTGCAGAGAGGTAGGACGTTACAACAAGCCTGTGTATGACACTATACATTTTGATAAAAGTCCCTCTAGCGCACAAGTAGTTGTTTACACTAATACGATTTAATAATGCAGAACAGATGGCAGTATAACAGGATAAAACTATATGATTTCAATTATAAATAACATAATTACGTTTTCAGATGGATCATAAGACAGGCCAGTGTGTCTCGGTTGGGTTGGGGCAGCTCACTGATGGTCTGATAAAGAACGGCCAGACTGTTGTCGTCATCCTGGATTTCTACAACAAACAAAAAAAGCGAAGTAAAAGAAAAACACACACACACACACAGGTAATTTAATAGCAGTTCAATCGTTCAATTGATGTAAATGCTTGTTCTTATACAGCATAATGTTGCATTAACAACTATTTTCTACGTCTAAAAGACTCACCAGCTGCTTCCATGAACACTTTGTTGAGATGAAAGGTGAGCAGTGGCTCTGGGAGGTTTCTGAGAAAGTCTTTGAGGACACCGGCGACAACGTTAATGTCATCCACTTTGTGAAGTGGAGGCACAGTCTTTCCTCTAATCAGCTTCTCCTTCAGCTCTTTTACCATGCGCTCTTGGCCAGAGACTCTGTACAGGCCAACCTGGGGGCAGGGAAAGACAAACAAAACCAGCTCTCATTGTCTGACTGCTTGTGATACCGCAGCACACAATAAGACAACTAATTAGAAAGAATATATCCATTGTAATGCAGTAAGAGGGTCAGATTCTCTCACCTCATGTAGGCCTCTGTGTTCAATCTCCTTAATACAGTAGAGTAAGAATGCAGGAATCTTTGGGGAGCTGAGTGGAGCAAAGTCAGCCAAGGTGTTCTGCACAATAATTACATAAAATTAACCAAAACATTATTGTAATGACAAAAAGTGAAAAAATAATTTAAACATGTCATGTATTTACCTCGGTGTTCGGGACGGGAGTGCTAAGGACTAGCGGATTACAGGGCAGAGGACAGTTGGCACGACATTCTGGATGAGTCGCCACCTTACAATCCTGGCAGCGAAGGTACATCTTTCCAAACTTTGTTCTTCTTCCACATGGCAGGCAGAACTCAGACTTAATCACCTTATTTAGTGAAGGAACACGTAGCCAGAGGTGAGCGCAGGTACTTCAACAATGGTGATCAAGCTGTTGAGTATCAATGAATATACATCTTACGGTTTTGGGGATGAACTGGTGTGTCTTTCCTCCTCTATTAGTTCTGAGGGTTTGGAGCTGGATGGGTAAAATGGAGACTGGTGTGCTTTGAGCATCACTTTGGTCAGTAGTGGTTGTATCACCCCAGGCTGGAGCAACTGTAGGCGCAATCACATGTTGGTAACATCAGCAAATCCATTAGAAGAAACTAAAAAAATGTTCAGGCAATCAGTCAAAAGGGAACATACAGAAGATCTACAAAATTCTCACCGTTCTTCCTGCTGCGTGTTCGGTAAGGAACCGTTTCAATGGTGGAGACCGCCTCGACAACACCACCATTCCCTGGGACAGTGATCGTGGTTTTTGCCACTATAGACTCATTCATCTGAATCATTTATAAAAAGTGTAATTAATAATTGAAAAAAATATATGAATTGCTTTTCTTTGGAAAAATAGGTTTATTTTCACTTGAAAGCCTTTTAAGTTGTATGTCATTTTGATAATAAAAAAAAACTGTTTTACAGACAACTTCTTGTCAAGTGTTGTGTTATATATAGCACATTTAGAAGAGGGGGTCAGCATTACCCCTTCTGATGTTCGTCCAGTGGAGCGAGGTTTTTTCATTGCCAGTGGAGGAACCTCAGAGAGTTTTCTGGAGGAACGCTGCATAATAAACATAAATAAACAGTTTTATGGATTACCCGCTTAAGGCTGTACACCAAATAACAAAACAGAGTTCTGGTAATATGTAGAAAACTATACTAATCAAAACCACACTGTGTTTACACTTAGCCTGAAACAAATCCACATAATTAGTTCAACATTAATGAACTCAAGGAGACACCAGTTCTATATACATGATTTAAAAAAACACAACTCACTCGTTTTTGGCGCTTCCGCAGTCTCACAGTCCTCATCGCAGAAGCATCCCAGTCCTACAAGTTAATACGATACATGAACCACAGCACTTAATGACCCTGAATAAATGTATGCTATTGGATCTTAAATCAGTAGTTCCCCTAAAAGATACAGCAATGCTTTTAAGAACGTAAGTCAAAATACCAGAGAGTCATCCGTTTGGTCATAGCTGATGTCTGACAGCAAAGAAGCTGATTCATCAATGGTAGTTAACCTGAGAAATAGAGTAATGTCAGCAAGTACGTTTTATACAGGTAATGGCAGGCAGCGCCATCACTAATTTCATAAAGTGTACTCGTAAAGGGACCTTTTTCAATGTGAACGTTCAAAAAAGGATGGGATACTGTGGTCAGATGAACACCCAAAATTGCTATTATTGTCTTATCAGTAGCTGTTACAGAACCAGAGAAGGAGGATCTGACCTTCGACTGGTGTTGACGTTGCTCATAGCAGCTTGTGCTGCCTGTGAGTGGGCACTAAGGAAGGCCAGAGCGGAGCGCTGCTCCTCACTCAAGTGGACACTGTTACCGTTGTTCTCCGATATCAGCAGCTCCCTGATCAGCTGTAGCTGACGTTCCTGTTGAAACCATAAGACATGAGTTTTAAGTGACCAACTTTTTATGACAAGAGACCGTTATCCAGTAAGCAGACCACATTTTATTTTTACACATTATTCAACCCAGATGCCATAAAATCAATCACAGATATAAAAGACTACTAAATAGTGTTGCACCAACCAGCTTCTCGTGAACTGCCTCCGCCTTCTGCCGCCGGCGGATCTCCACATCCACTTGGTTGCGGGCATGCTTCAGCTTGACCTCCAGGGCTCCCCGCTCCGTCTCTGCTTTCGACAACACTTCTCTGCAGGAGACCAGCTCCTCGCCTGCTCTCAGCCACTTCTTTCGGCACTCCTCAAAGTGAATAGCCATCTGAAGGAACTCTGAAAAAGAAGATGGAAGAGATTGTTGTACTGCTGCTTTTCAAACTATACGTTGTTTTCTGCGGTGGGCAGGTGGCTATATGTATAGGGGCTCCAAAATGCCTTTGCAGTGGTAAAGATGTGGTTAAATACCTCGAGATCGAGTACAAAGGACTCTGCAGTGGAGTGAACAAATGACTGACAGTGCTTTCCTGCCAGGGACAATGTAAATGTATTGCATTATCTGGGCTATTGAGATGGAAATTTGTACTACCCTCCAATAGCTATTCCACCCCCATTTGCTCATGTGGTGCACCAGTCCTGCTATCCTGAAGGTACTAAAGACTCTACACTCCTGCATTCATCGCCCTGTGGCCGTTACCGACAATAATGTAGAAACATGAACCAACTACACACACGTTACACAATTACTGCAGCTCGGACAGCCTTCTAGAGACGCGCTTGGAGAAGTTGGAAAGACATTCAAAGATTCGGAGTTGTGACAAACACTGAAGCGAAGTTGGTAAATAACTTACGTGGTTCAATGCCCTCATTCAGACCGTCCACCTGGGCTCTCAGGCTCTGGAACTGGTTGTACAGGTTCACCACGGACGCCTCCATCGTGTGTTACAGCATGGAGCTCCTCGGGAATGGGAGGGTTTGTTAACAATGCTAGAGAAGGTTACTCTACGTTTTAGCCCGTTAGCTAGTTATACTAACACTTCATTATTATCTAACGTTAACATCATACCTTCAACGTAAAGATAGGTCTGCATTAGCTGCAGAAATAAAGAAAAACAACGTCACTTTTTATGAGAGCTAAGTAGACGCTACTGTTATCTTCGAAACAGCTTCCAAGCTCGTTAGCGGAGTAAATGTGACGATAGCTTTAACGTTACTCCACTTACAATGAAGCTATCGGCATGCTAACATTAACATTAGCATGTTTGTGTTGACTTAACGTCGGCTACGTTGACCAGCGTTCCGTTGTGCAAAATATGAAACACTTACTTGTGTAATGTTTTTCCTGTGATGGTGTGGTTACAACGTCCAGTGTTTAAAGCAAAGGTTCACGAATACAACGTTCAGTTCATTCCCACACCAGTAACAGCAGAGCCACACCTACTTGGTAAAGTTTGCACATTCTTCTTAAAAGTTCAAAATCAGCGCCGGTTTACTTCTTCGTTGTTCGCTGTTTGCCGGAAGTTGCAGCGCTCTGTTCCCCGGCAGAGGATCGCGGCTGTAACTGCAGGTAAGTGTCCTCTGGTTCCCAAAACAGGGTTCAGAGGTCGACATCGGCGATATACATAATACGTGACTGCATAGAAAACATTACAGATTTTTCAGTTTTAAGAATCTCTGGAGGGTTTTTCTGTGCTGAGCTGTGCTATCAATGTCTTTAAAATACTTGCTTCTAAACTAGAACCAAGGAACCGCTACAATAGCTTTAACAACTTTTTTTTTAAATACATGAAAGTATTTGGACTTTTGTTTCAGTCCAGTATTAGTGCTTCCTCTTTCATGGCTGTGTGAGTACTCAATTGAGTAGGGGCAAAATATGTGTGAAATGGTAAAATCCTTTGAAACAGTCACTAACTGCGTCCTATTGTAGGACTGGCACATGGGATGCTCACAACGGAGTCATTAATCAGCCTTGGATGGCATATCTGGGTGCAGCAGCAGCAGCCTTGTGCAACATTTAATGGTGGTATCACACGCACACATACAAACACACACACACACAATCAATTGCAAACAATTTACATGTATGTGTCCATAACACTTTAGAATACATTAAAAAAAAGAATATACATGATTTGTGTGTATTGAAATGCATTGGAAGGCCACACTTGTCCTCAGAACATTGTGTATTCGTGTGTGTCCATTTGTGTACGTGTGTGTGCGTGCGTGCATATGTTTACTTGTGCGTATGTGCGTGTGTGTCTTGAATATTGAACGTACATTAGAGGTGATTTGGGATAATAGTATCTGTCAGTCAATATGCACTCTCTGTCTTAGTCAATTATTTATTTCTATATGTACATTTCCTCCAGTCACAGATCATTAATATGACGGAATTCTCTCTATACATCAATCTTTGTCGACTCTTTCTTAGACTGAGTGGACTATTAGTACTGTCTGCATTAATCTGTATTCTGGCATCAAGAGCAACGCCACCAGGAATAAAGGGAAATAATTCATCTAGCAGAAAAGGAGCGGTTGCTTTTAAATATATGTTTATAACATATGCAAATGTATTGTTTATTAGATCAAACATGTTGTAAAAGGCATGTCACCATTTTGCCTTAGAATCTTTTCAGACAGGTCAGACAGGTAAATTGTTATACCTGCACACATTTTCCCTGAATATTGAGTTCACAGATTTATAGATGTCTGCCTAAAAGATGCATGACTTCTAGGCTACAGCAAGGTCCACATTTCACAAGTGCATCTCAGGAATGGAAAAAGTGTCAGCAGGCTTTTATGCACCAAAGTTTCAGAGGAAGCACCTGCAGCTTGTGCTGACCAAGGCTTTGGCCTCCTCAGTGGCACCATTGGAAAGGTAATGGATCCACAAACAGCCTCATGGGGAACACTTGGCAGATATACATCTACTTAGGAAGATGTGTGCTAGCAGAACACATCCTCTATACATCCATTGAATAGCTGTGCACACAAAGCAAAGCAAAGTTTAAGGATCTGGAAACAAGTAAAGAAAACAAGCATTTTCATGCACATTAGTTCATTCCCCTCAACGATACCTATATCGCCTCTGCCGACTTTGGTGTCTCAAGGGGAAAATAACTTATCTATTGTTGAACAGAAACAAATGTATCTATATCTAAGGGTGTGGGAGAAAGGGACAAAAAAAAACATGAACACCTGGAAAACTTGATGCAATCCAATACATTTACCCTTTTATTATCGAGATAGTGTTAGATGTTTGATTTCACTATTCAGCTACTGATGGAGTTGTATTAGATTACAACGTGTTGTAAAGTGTGCCTCTTTTTTGAACCACTCTAATATGCAAATTGTTTTGCATTGCAGCCTTACAAGCTCCACAAATGTATTTTTTAATTCCTACACATTAGGTTACATTTAATCATATTTTGAAAGTGTGCATGTTTCTTGTGCCAACACATCAAAGTCTGGCACAACAGAATGCTTTAACAAAATAGAATTTCACACAACTAACAAGATTATTTTAATTATCTTTGAATGGACGCAGATGAATCTGTTTGTGCAAAGGGAGTCTGCAGGTCCGCGTACGCCAAGTGACTGCAGTGATGGAATAATGTGCGTAGGTGCACTCCAAACGTCGTATCAATTGAATTACAAGTGTAATCTCCTACTCAGAGAGCGTTTCCTGGAAAAGGCTCCCTCTTTCCTTCTGTGCTTCAACAACAATACATTTAGTTCATCCCGGGTTGTGAAACCTGACACTTAGCAAACACTCCATCACAAATACATTCACGAGTGGTTTAAACAGTTTTTGGTATCCAGTTTGAAAAATGTCAGAAACACTATAAAAATAAGATTTTTTTCAATTTAAACTGGTTCGATCAGTATATTGTGTTGTTAAAGTAAAGGAAAAGAGCATTCAACCTAAAAGGTAAAAACGCTCCTGTTGATAGAATCCATTACTATTCATGAAAAGAAGATGTACAACTTTTATGTAGTGATTAAACTATTTTTAAAATGAGAAAACAAAAGAAACAGACTTTTACATTCGCTTGTTATCACTAAAATCATTAAATCTTCTATAGTTGACAATTATGTGAAACAGTCATACCTTAAATGCCTCATTTTGCAGCTATTGAAAAATATTAAAAACAAAAGTCATTATACAAAAGACAGTAGAGGGGGAACAACGTAACATGGGAGATTACTTACCATGTTAGAGATAAGTGATTTAAAAATAAGCTACATTTAGAACCACCCTGTTTTTTGGAGGTCCTGAGTAATGGTGCTGCATGCTGACAACTGAAAAGGGTTATTGAATGTTAACTGATCGCCACTTCAGCTTTATTGTCTTAGTCCCGGTCAGCATCTTATCTCCATGAGACCGCCGTGCAGGTTCCTGAATACAGCAGATATCCGGCAGGTAATAATGTGGGTTGTAAAGGTCTTCATGACCCAACGGTGCAAATGAGAATGACAATGATGACAATAATAACCACTGCAGTGGCAATGACCGCAAGCAGCTTGCAGACCTTGGCCCGGCGGAGGTCCGCCTCTTTACGCCTGAGTAAAGTATCGTAGCCTGGAGTGTAAATGTCGTCCATCCAGAACTCCATGTTGTTGGGGTTTAGAGACTCCTGGTTCTAAGTGACATAAGGTCATATAAAAATCAGATCAGTTACACACTCATACATAAAATATAGATCCAAATGTTAAAGTAAATTGCTGTTTCCTGCACTTGCATGCATTATTCATTTGTAATGTGCTATTTCATAATTGTATTCTAGAAACCCACTGTTGTTTTTGTTTTGATGATGTTTAATATTATTATACTAATCAATCCGAAAACGCATCACATTTACTGGGTTATAGACTGAAACCCATGACTTTATACAAAAGATAGGCTAGGAAGGAGAATTGGATTCAAAGCATTTAACTACTGTAGCATTTATAACAAATCTTACCTGTAAGTCCAAAGGGGAGATTCGAGCCTCTCTTTCATCTACAGTCCATATGGGCCTTCCCCTACCTTCGGAAAATCTGGGGTCCAGGACCTTCCCAGAGGTTAGCCCTCCTGTCAGACTGCTGTCCTTGTGGTGGAACAGAGACGAACTAAATACTTGTTCTACCAGGTTGGAGGACTTTCTGGAGATGAGGTTAGTTGTGCTGCCTGATCGATCTGCCTAGAAAGAAAACAAACATTTCATAGAATGTATTATATACAAAATATTTGATATAATGTTTCTTTTCAGTCCTGACCAAACAGTCCTTTGTATAACATTTTATTTAAAATTTTGCACATATGTCATATGGATTCCTATATATTAACTTCTGCACTATGTGTTCTCCATGTCCTTCTCACTTTATACTTCTCTATAGTTGTTTTGCATTATAATATTTTATTTGTAGAGCGTTTTACAAGGCACTTTACATTGGTGGGAAAAACAAACACAAGCAATAACACCATAAACAAGAGGGGAGACGTAGCAGTAAGAAACAAAACCAAAAACCTAATTAAGATATGACAGTGTTCATTGTAAAGGTTTAAACCAACATCCCAGTGGCCTAATTCATCAACTTATAACTAAATCACACTGCGCAGCAGACCACCAGCTTCAGGCCAAACACATCTTGCTGTCACACCTTATACACAAGGGTTGTCCTTTTGCCTTCAAAATGGATCCCTTTACTGACAATACTCATGTAAAACTTATTTCTTAATGTTTCATTCAAAATATAGTATAAACTGCGCACAGTAAAATGACTCTACCTGTCCATGTGAAGACTTGCCATCTTTACTTTTGGAGAATGACACCGTCCAGTCTCTTGCAGAAATATTCAGCGAGTTTGAATCAGACATATTTTTCTCTACAGGCTGACTTTTAGAAGCACGACCAGATGATGCATCCTTCTTCCCTACTTTCCCCCCATCTGAATCGGCTGGACCTTTGCTGCTTTCTATTTGCTCCACGGGAGTGTTCCACTGGTTCCAGTCCAGACTACTAGTACTGATCCCTGGAAAAAGATGCTCAGACACAGACAGAGGCTGAGGCTCTGACGACTCAGAAGGGGTTATAGGGTGGCCGATGAAAGAGGAGACACCACTGAGAGGCTCCAGCCATCGCCCTCCGCTGCCTTGTCCATCCCCACTGATAGGCGGCTGAATCTTTTCATCCAGCCGCTGCAGCGCTGACAGCACCTGGGAAATCTCAGCTTTGACATCATTCAGTGAGTCCAGTTGTCTTTCTATCTGGCTCATACGGAGCAGCAGCTTACAGACACTGGCCTGGAGCCCATCATCACTGCTTTCCAGAGAGTGGAAAAGCCTTTGGAGTTGACCTAGGCGGCCACGTCTTGCCTCGTGGGTGTCCTGGTTAATGGCCCCTGGTCCATCACTAGGGTGCAGGACTGCTGTGGAACCACACATGCTTATGTCATCTAAGAAACGAAAGATGGCACTGATGTCATCCTCACCGATGTCAGGGTCGTCTAATGACGTCATAAAGGAGAAGCGGTCAGCGTGGACAAGGCTGCGGAGACGCCGGGCGTCTGGTGGGTCCGTCTGGGTTCCTTGCGCTTTTACTCCGTCCACTGCAATGGACAATTCACTGTCGCATCTTAAGGACTCCCCCAATTTGCTGATTGCAGGGCTTGATCTTCTTGGAAGTTGCCCCCCTTGTGATTCCATTCCCATTCCAATACTGCCAGGGCCTATTCGGTCCTCTAGACTGTGACTCTTGTTGCTCCAGATGGGCCTCTTGGTCCTCGGAGGTTGAAGGTGCCGCGGCGACCACTCTGGGATTGGCCGCGGTCCGAAGTAAGTTGAGTCCTGTAGGTCATCAAGGCTCTCACGTTTTGCCTTCTGCTCCGGCGATTGGTTGACTGGTGCTGGTGATGGGTAAGGATTCGGGATGGTTTCAAAGATGCGATTGTCGAAGCCTTTCTGATCCTTGTTAGGACTGGGAGACTCACTGTTAACAGTCACCTGGGGTATCAGAGGCGGCCGGTTGTGAAAGTCCTTCCTAAAGATGTCTCTCTTCTGGTCGACAGACGATCCCTGTTCATCGTCAAACACCTCCATCGGCGCAGAGTCTACACTGGACTCACTGTCTGTCTCCAAAGGCAAGTAGATATTTTTCATAACCTCGTTCGGGATTTGGCCACTGGGGTAGAAAAGTGTGGTGTGAGGCAAGTCGAAAGACACAGCCCTCGCCCTGATTGGAGGGGAGGACACAAGTGAGATGGGATCCGGGGGAAGACTTGCTCGCTTGTGGCCTGAGTAATTAGATCTCGGAGACAGCAAGTCCTGATCAATAGGCCGGCCACTGGAGTCAGAGTGGGCACGCACTCTTTCTCGACCAGAAACGTTCAGCTGCTGTATTCCAGGCAGACTGGGGCCTGGGCATTGGTCGACAGGGAGGACCATCTGCGCTCTTATTGGTTGGCTGTCATCAGGGACGCCAACCGTCATCTGAATAAGATTGAAGATAGTCACAATATCAGCAGCGACGCCTATCGGGGAAAGCCCCTGGCCTTTTGTGGAAACACGATCTCTGAAGAGAGTAGCTGGGAAACAGGGGTCCTGGCTGGCAGCAGCAAACAGCAGACTCCTGAGCTCGATGAGGTGCTCCAGGTCGAAGCGGGCGCTGACCATACGACAAAGATCCTGGAAAGTGAGCCATTGGCGCATATTGGCCAGTTCCTCCAGTATCCCCAGTAGGACCCCAGGATATTCCTGCTGCAGGTTAGCCATGGCTCCTCACCTGAGCGGGAAAATCAGGCAGTTAGTGAGGCCAAGCCAGCTTTTTTATAGCAGCAAATGTGATTTTCCAAAACACTAAAATAAACACGTCAATGTAACAATACAAGTATAGAGAATATGTGTAATAATAATATTATGTAAATATATCAAAGTGTATTGTAGGTTACATATTCATATTAATGTATAGAAATAAAACACTGGTATTTGTGAGATGTTTTGTACTAAAAAACGAATTGGGAGTCCTAGGTTTGAATGATTCACATCTGTCCAATAACAACAGTGTTTCAGATCTGATACTGTTACATTGACAGCAAATAATCATATAATTGGTCGACATTAAATAACACATTTTCAATTGTGATAGAAAAATCCCTTTGACAGGCGAATTTGGAAAGTGACCTTATTTTTGTGCCCTAAAATAACTGATCATCTGACCTGATGACGGCGTCACACTGCGCACAGCTGCACCTCACTGGACATTTTTAATCTTCTCATTTCCATTAACAACCTCGGGGCAGACTGGCTACTACTAAACACTACAACACGTGCTAGATGTGTTCAATATACGGACATGCATTCATTAACTTCATTCCAGCCATATGTGAAAACGCTCCGAAGACGAGAACAGGGCAGGACTAACACTATTTACTGCTATTTGATCCACTTTTGGATGACAGCTGGGACAGTGTCAACGACATGTCCGTGTTGCAAATTCAATTTGGGTTATCGCAACTCACCAAGAGGTGTGTAATTCCACTCACCTGGATCAGACGAAAGATAAAGTCAGGCCTGCGTCCATGAAAAATGACAAATGGAATCCAGTTTTATGTCGACAGCATGGCCATATTGCAAACAGAGGCGGGCGGCTCATACTGTTACACTGCTTTCATGTGCTTCTCTGTTAGTAACAGCAACCAGCCCACAGCTCAGCCAGGAGAGAAAATTAGAAATTAGGTCATCTTCCCACAAGTCCTTGCAGTCCCCTAAGGGACCTCAAAATACATCCAAACGGTTTCCCCCCATCACAGACAAGCGGCCACACTTTCAAATTCAACAGTGCGCTCCCATTTCTGAGTGATGCAACGGAGGAAAACACCCTGTTAGCAGGACATCCCAGTGTGAAGCAGTCGGTCAAGTCGAGGAGTATATTTTCTCAGGGTGCCATCGCAATAATTGGTTTTGTGTGCAAATTGAACATAGGAATAAAAGGCCAGTTTAAAAATTGATGTTTGCTAATTGACACTCCAAACTGACACTAAACCATACGAGCTGGAGTAAATTATCTGCTACATTGCTGCATGCACAGAACTGTCTGCTAGACTTCAGCGCCCAAAGACTTTACCATTACTCTGCATTATCATCCATAAAGGGTTGTACTCCATTAGAGCAAGAAAAGCACAAGGCTTTCATCGCCGAGTGGTAGCACTCCGCTACAATCAGATTGGACATCTCTAATTCATCGGAGAGCTCACAGAGGGGCCCATCCATCATCCCATGTACTCAGGAGTCACTGGGAATCAATGCAGTGAATGAGTATGTGGGTGTAGGTATAGGACAGTAATGTATTACTGTCAGGGTGGGGAATGGCGTTTCTCTATGCAAGGTGAACAAATTACAAAAGTTGAATGATGTATTCTACACGTAATGTGCTCTTTTCTATTTTTTCAGTATCTATCAGTTGAGGAAGAGTGGTTATTTTGTCAATATTGCAACACCTTGTTCTAGCACAAAAACATTTAATATTCGACTCAACTGTCTACTTATACAAAAATAAGGGAAAGATCCATCTTGTTTAATGCAAACAACTCCCTAGTACCCTCCTAGACACCTTTGGTAAAAACTGGCATTACAAAAATTGGCATTACAGCACCATTACAGCAACTATAATAAAAAATAAATGTTTTACAGGACACAACAAATATGTAAAAGCTACTGTGTAGCGGTTTCAGCTGAGATTAGATTCTCGGTCTCTTTTCTTCTTTGGTTTTAATTTCCCCACTGGGGCCACACAGGTTGGCGTCAGTGAAGGATTCAAGGCTGGATCTAATGCCGGGTTCAGGGACAGCAAGTCCAATATAGCTGCACTCTCATTACCTGTTGAAACATGACAACATGAATGACAGACAGAGGGATGGTGAAAACATAGATTTACAACATGAGTAAAAAGGTGCTTACCATTGTTGTCCCCTTCACAGCTGAGTTCTGAGACTTCTCTTTGGGGAGAGACCCGGGCCAAGGCTGCCAGCTCAGTTGTGAAGCCTTCTTCTGCCTCCTATTGGACACAACAACGCAGTGCTTACAGAAAATATGAGAAAGCTGTCAGGCAGGGAAGTACGTGATACATAAAACATACTAACCAGCAGCTGTGCTTTGGTACTTTCGGTGTTCTGATCCTGGGCTACTTTCTTCCGCCTAAGTTCCTCATATATCATTTCCTGGTCCAAATCACACTGCTCCAACACCCTCCCTTTGTGGAATTCAACCCTGAGTCACCAAAAAAAACTAAATTAACAACCTAAATTATGATTATTGAATACTATTTAAGACTGACATAAGTGTTCAGTGCAGACAAAGAGTGTAGTGTGGTGCATGGTTGTTGCACCTCTGTTGAAACTCAGCAGAAGTGGGTTTCTTGCCCCAGTTCGCCAGCTCCCTCAGCAAGGACCTGCTCAGCTGACTGCTGCTCTCTTGTTTCTCATTCACCTCTGAAGGAACAGTAACATTAACACACTTTAACTTGGAGGGTTTTTTCACGCCTAAGCTGTTTGGTTTAGTTAAAACAAACCATTTGCCTGGTTTGTATAGTTCATTGGTGCTTGTGAGAAAGTTGTCATTTGACGAAACAACCAAACCAAAAGGCACGGACACATGATTTTATGATAGCATAATGTAAATTTAGGAGGATTTCCAAAGCTCTACTAGTAATAAATAGATCTGCTCAAATATGTTCAGAATTATAAATTCTATGTATAACTATACTTTATTTTTAAACTGTGAGTTAACATATGGACATTTTCCTTAACTAATGAACTAAACAGCTCTGTATGCTTCATTAAAACAATTATACCCAACGACTGTACAGGATGCCTCCTTTTTGTCCTGTTAAATAAGGTGAATAACAATTTGACAGTCTCATAATTGTTTATAATCTTTGTGAGCTCTTAAGTGACAGAAAAGAACAATAATGTATGCATCAGAAAGATAAGGATTGCATACACTTCAATTAGTCACTTAACTTTTATTTCCTCATCCTGATGATACAAGATGACAATAGCCAAAACTGTCCAATCAATCCTGCCGGTCAGTATGCCTTCATGTTAACTCTTCTTTGTTTGATGGTAAAAAGTCAGTCTCAACAGGAACCAGATTGTTTTACCCCTTTGTCCGAACCAAACTACAGGTCTGAAGTACTTTACATAAAAACAATCCTGGCTATTATTGTACTGCAAAGTTTGCCTTTGACCTAATGAAATAATCTATTACATATACTTTGTCTAGATCCAGGTTCATCTGAGTTCATGCAGATGTGACCATGTGCATGTGTGTTGTGATCTCACCCTGGTTTATGTTAACCTGATCATGCTCATTTTTTTGGATGATGTCCTTCAGGTGGGAATAGTAGCTTTGGACCATTGCAGTGAGAGAATCTTTGGTCACATACACGCTCTCCGAGGCAGCCTCTGTCAAGTGGGACTAGTGAGAAACAAATGTTACTCGAGGGTTGCTTAGCAAACATGCCCAAAGTAGAAAGATGATTCAAATTCACAACACAACCTTCAAACCGTCATCCTGTTTTGGGGAAGTCTGCGACTCAGCAGGTGGGTTCTGCATCATCTGTCGGATTGCGTGGCTAAGGGCGTTGCCTACCACCAGCTGTGCATGGCCCTGGAGAAGCTCCATCCCTGTTTCCAATTCAGACAGGAACTCCTGCTGGAAGCTGTGTCCAACAAGCTGACTCTCTGGGCCCAGATGCCTCTCTGCTAGGCTGGCACTGTTATTCTGTGATCGGTATCCGACAACAACGATGTTTATTTGGCTGTGAACTTGGCTACTATGTTAGACAAGGGAATATGAGACATGCTGCATCTAGTGACCATTGTGGTGTCCTTAAAGGAAAGTATTGATATGGATAAAAAGAAGCCATCTTTCCCCACCTTGAGCGTTGAACTGACACTGGGCTGGTTCTCACTGGGATCTTCCATTAGCACAGCTCTGAAATCAGTCTGAGAAAGTTCCTTCAGATTTGACAGTCTCATCTCCTTCAGCATGTGCAGAGTAAAGTGTCTGACCACAAAGTACCTCTGCACAGCCACCAAGAGGTGCTCTTGTTTCTTCTCTATCAACCTTCCAACGTGGCTGAGAAGAAGATCATATTGCATCATTTCCAAATAACAACAAACATGGATTTTCATACTGGATAAGTGGATGTGGCTGTAAATTTTGCTCTGAGTGACGATTTAATTTTATTCTTCATCAGGCAATCTTTTGCACTCAATACATTATCAATAATTTTTGGCAGAGGTTTTCCAATCTCACCTGTTGAGTGTGTAGCTCTGTCTGGCCACCATGGCCCGGAGGATCGTCATCTGTTGTTCCCCCAGATGTTTAAAACAGGACTGCACCAAAACCATCTCTTCATTCCACACCTACAACAAAATACACTTAGTTAGAAAAAGCAGAAAGACTTTAGTTTAATAAACTATTGAAAATATCTAATGTACATTGGTTTAAGAGAGACTTTTTAAAATAAGAATCCTCATTGATAAAAGAATCAAGGTGCCCAGAACTGAAGGATACCAAACAGTCTACCTGTCGTTCTTTGTCCATCTGAGTCTTCATGTCCTCCAGTTGCAGCTTGGTAGTGCACTCCGCCTGCTGCAGATGTGCAACCAGCTCCTGCTCCAGGTCCAACCACAGCTTCTCGCAACGTTCGGCAGAGACCTTTGACAGGGCCGGGACAGAGGTGAGAAAAACATCCTTCGCTAGATCACCAAGCCTCTTTGACCAGGAGCCACGGAGTTTCTGCAGACACAAAAACATAAATAATGTAAATACTCAGTACAATACAATACTCGATACACAGTCGTTCTCAACTGGTGGGTCGGGGTCGCCGGTTGGGAGTCGTGGCTCTGGGGATCCGTGATTTATTTACAGTCTGAACGGCACAGTGTACACAAAATGTAGTATTTAATCTTTTACCTTCCAATGATCACAGAGGGCTTCAGCCACCTTGTTGTCCTGCTGCTGCTCCAAGTTACAAATCTGCTGCCTGTGTTTTGTCAGCAGCTCCTTATACACCTGAAGGGAAGGTTTACATTTAGATGCCAATGTAGTCTGCAAATAGTTTATTGGCCTATTTATTAAGTACCAGTAATGGGAGGAAGCAAATTCTTCCAACCTTGGTGAGCTGCTTAAGGTCATTGTAAGTCTGTTTCAGTTCCAGGGCGCAGATCTTCTCTTTGGTCTGACTCCTCAAAAGCTTCTTCCTCTTGGACTCTAATGTGCTGCTCTTTTCATCCACCAGCTCCTTTGTTTTCCTCATGCACTCTGAAACATAACAGCATGAAGATAACAGCGAAATTACTATGTTATGATGATGATTAACATACATTGTCTCTGCAACAGATGAGTAGACGCTACTTACTCAACAGGTGCGTCGTAGCTGCATTTTTATATGGTCTAAAGAGTGTTCTAAAAGGTGGAAAATTTATTATGTTCAATGATGCCCCCCCCCCCCAATAACGCTGTTAAACATGCATATCTTGAAATAATCCTTGCTTCTTTCATTCTGATGGACCAACATTCAATGCTACCTTTACTGTTTTTTTACTTACTAATCAAAACACAGCAGAGAAGTTAGGATGAGGTACCTCGTCTAATTAACTAACTGTTTTAGCCACATACGAGTGTATGGTAATGGAATAGTGTAATAGATATTATGTGCTGTTCTCAAAGAACCTCATGACCTTATTTCATTATCCAGAGAATAGAGGAGGAGTCCAGGAAAAGGGTCTATTTTGAGAGTGTACATCATTTAATGTTGAAAAGTAGGTTAGTTATTGTCCACTGATACCTGCCCCCAGAAACCAGTTGAGTGAAATGTCAGTATTTTCAATTACTGTGTTACTAAACTTGGTAAAAAAAAAAAACTTACTAATGTGTTTAGTGTATTTTGATTTTTTCCTGCAATCCAATTGCTTAACCTACAAAAGGCTCTTTCTAACCTGCCTTCTGTCCATTGTCTCTGGACCTGATAGTGTGATAGTGAAAGGAAAGTACATTAATTAGTTTCCGGTTAGGATTTTCAAAATAAAGTGTCAGAGGCGAACTCGTTGGATTATCAGAAATATATTTACGGATGGAATGCACAAATATGCAGAAAAAAAACAATTATATTTAGTTTTTTCACATCTTATCCACCTGTATTTGCCTCATTATCTTTTTTACGGGGACACTAGTATCCTTTCTAAAATAATGATGAGTGTGCTTTAACTAACTGTTAAACTGTTAAACTGTTAACTGATAGTGACAGTGAATTGACTAAAGGAAACTGACGTTTTCTCACGACAAGTCTTACCCTGTGTGCACAGTTGAAGACCTTCAGTCAGAGTTGCCTGAACCTCTGAGAGTATCTTTTCCA